AATTCACTTGTCGTTTAGATGCACTCAGTTCTTCCAAGACACGATGTGTGCTCTGTTGTTTCGTTGGATTATCATCCGATTGTACGGTCTATCATTTCTTATCATTCTCTGGTGTACTTCTCGCTGTGCTCCGCTCAGACTAGCATATCGATGCTGTAGGTCTTGTTGAACAGACGTGTTTTACGATTCCCTTTACCCCAACGTGTGAGTAGATCATATCTTCTTGAAGTTGTTCGTTCAAATTGCCGGCTTCCCTCGATTGTTCCAGGACGATACCATTGCTGTCGGGAATCAAGGGCACCATGACTCCTTATCATCTCTCAATGCTGCGCTAATATCTCGCTACCTGCTAGTACTTCTCCCACGGGGGGTCTTTCGGCGCACGCCATTAGTAAGGTTTACGGAAGCATTCCACTTGTCGCGATCTCCGGGTAACATGTCCACATACGGCTATCGATTCCGGGACAGTCACGTAACCGTGGCAAGGTTGTCTGATAGGGAGACAGCATTAAGGACACTCGCAGCTGAGATATAAAGGGTGAGGTCTTGGATTGCTTTCTTGGATTTGTTTTGCCTAACCATTCTTGTCACTATGAGTCGTGTCTTTACGGCTATGCTGGGCTTTGCGCTTAACCGTTGTCGCGCTGGCCAACCACAAGTGTTATTTGCCTCCGTCGGCTACATCCGGTGTGACGCAACCAGCCACCGCGTCACACACCTTTCTTCATCTCACTCACCAGACTATGAATCGCCCCCTGCCTATCGGTAGTCCGCCAAGATACGCGTACAGCGTGCGTAATTTTTAAAATGCAGCATGCACGACTTACTCAAGTTCGAACTGCTGATAAATCGACGCAACGGACGGCGATCCGCACCGCACCGGCCCACACTTTGCTACTTCGATCAACTACTACTCCACAGCTCGTTAAGGGCGTTTTTGTGCAAGACGAAGATGCCTATGTCCCAACAGCCAATCAACTCCAGCCCCGCTTGGGGCTCGCCGCCGACACATGGCCAGACGTCCAGACGATGAACGCGACCGCGCCTAAAGTAAAACTTTGAAAGACACTCTTTACGTATAACTTCTGATCTTTGCGTGACTAGGGCACGATCTACAAACTCATCTTTGCGGGCAGACATGGCCAAGGGTTCCACAACGTTGCAATCGCCAAGTACACCTCGAATGTGCGCTGTCTCCGCATTGACCCGCATCTTACCCACGTCTGATCGTGAGCGATTTTGTTATAAGGAATGGCGTAATAAATGCGCGATGCGAAACGGAGACGGTGAACTAACGTGGGGCCGTACGTCTTGCACATTCCGTTCATTCAAAGATCTGACAAACGCTGCCACACACCCCGCTTGCTGTTCCTCCATATATGATCCATGAACGCCGTATAAAACCTATCACAAACTCACAGCCGATCCGAAGCTTACTCGCCTCGGAATCGAACAAGCGGAGACGGCGCGAGGGGCTTGGCTGAAGGTCAGCACACTCGTGTCCGCAAACCATTGCTCACTCAAGTCATCACCATACGATTGAAGGTCAGACCCCCGGCACCAGAAGCCTTCTATTGCTCTCCGCATCGGCGCGCGCTCAAGACATGTCAAATCACGTTCCCCAATCGCAGAGTCAAAGTGCTGGAGGTATGTGTTACTCAATCTGCGTTTGTGGGGTTACTGAACGCATCGTCGCATAGGACATCCGCGAGAAGCTGAGCGGACACACATGCGACTTTCGCTTGCCAATAAGCGAAATACGCAACAAGTTTCCTAACTTTGACTTTAGCTCTTTCGAAAGCGACGGTGACCCCTATGCATTGACCAAACCCTCGGATGCTGATATTGACCAAGAGACTCTACCTGCGGTTCGTTAGGAAGCTTTCAGGTCTCTGACTACCCCTAACATACTCTTAACTGCTTAGGAGGTGCTTTCGCGGAGAAACGGCCATGGCTTGGTGGTGGAGAGCGAGCTGCAGACGGCAGAACGTGTTCGCCGCGTGTTGGACTTTTTGTTTGACCACGAGCCAGCACATGGTAGGCAGTCCGGCTATGATGTTTTCGAGCCCGTTCACATTCGGCCATAGTTATATCCATCACCGCTCACGCCGGATGGATCCGCGGCCTTCTCGATGTCACAGGGCGCCACCGCTTCCAACTCCAGACTGGTGGTCAGTATGCTGGCAAGTTGCGGTATTTGACGACAGGCTAATGATACATTAATCCTCTACGCATGCTCATGATACCTCATACATATATGCGCTGCGTTTACGGCCCTTCATCGCATGCCGCTTACTGACTTAAAACCCAGGTATTACGCCGTTCCTTATTAAAGCGGTACGCATACGTAGCGAGGACGACGTCCAAACAGCAGAGCACAAGGCTCGTGATGCAGCTGCTACTCTGGGCATTGAATCAGTGGCGTCAGTGACCACAGGTACAGCTCCTGGCGGTATCCGAGGACCCGAACTACATCGCACGGGCTATTAATGATCGAAAGCATCTCGAACTTTTGTATATACACAGGATTTACGTTCAAATTCTCATCAATTGACGTGGCTACCGTCTGTTTTTCCAACTTTAGAGCGATGCACAGCAAGTTTGAACGGGCAGAGAAAAGAAATCACAAACGAGACTCTGACCTCGAGCTACCTACGCAGGCTGGCTACCACCATTCGTACACAAGACCTGGCGACTATGCTCAACAATATACGTAACATATCAGCAGAGATAGTGCACCTCGGCGCTGAAATGTATCCCGGTAGCCAATCAATCTGCGGGCGGTCATGCCCGCAGATCGCTTATGTACCCCAGTTGTTTTATACGATGCTCGGGCTGTAAAACCTGAGACCTGACGGACCGAGGGTCTACCTCGTGTTCTGTTCGGCGAACACTGCACTTCGGGTTTGTCCGATTTGATCATCGACTAGAATAACTGCTCGGCCTGAAGGACTTGATCCAAAGCAATATTCTTTCAAGCTGCCAGCGATGTTTGTATGTGGCTGATGGGTGACCGGCATAGTGTCCTTACCAAACTCCAAGTCTACCGCTTGCGGCCACTCGTCTCCAGTCAGTAGATCATTGCAGCCACAATGAGCCGGAAGCTGCTGTACAGTCACCAACAGCCAATGATTCCGGTTTGTGTGGCCCGGTCGTTGCGGATAAGCACTAGTGGCGTGGCCGAGAGAATTCCGACCCTGTCGGAAACGTCGGTCTGCGTATAAAGCACCCTGAACGCAGAACTCTGTCCTCAACCTCCTCCCCCTCCCGTGACAGTCCCTCGTATATCTGCCTGTCACCATGAAGCCGTTGAAGCTGGGCCTCATTGACTACACCACTAGTGGAAACATCGCAACCCAACCAAGCGATACTTCGGGATCAATCGAGTCAATGCGCATACCCTTGGAGCTTTTCCGCTCAGTTGTCCAGCTTGTGGTCGACAGGGACGATTTAATTCGTCTTGGACGCGTATGCACCGCGTTTCGCGCCGAGACTGAGCGTGTGCTCTACCGCGAGGTCACTCTCGCACTTGATGACCCGCGCGGCCGCGGGTTATGCTCGAATTTGCCCAGTGTCATCCACCGCGTTGCTAAGCATGTTAGGAGATGCATCGTGCATTTACCAGACCGGTCTCAGCCCACAGAGTCGTCTTACCCGATGCCCGAGCATTTCGGGAGTGGCGGGCTGTCATGCGGTCTTCGATTGCCGAGTGCAAGACGATGGCGATGGCTTTCGACTGGACAACCGGAAAACAGCTTGAAAAGGCTGGTAATGGACACTATTGCCTGCATCCCGCATATGAAGGAGCTACAAACGCTTTTTGTCAGTGGCAATGTCTCCGGATACAAGTTTGGCTACACCCTCCGTCATACACGTTTCACAAAACTCGCATCATTCACATCTTCTTCTATTCTGGACAAGGTAAGCAGTGAGTTTGCTTTGCAGACTGCTTATTCTCACCCCGAGAACGTAGGCTACTCTAGCGTTCCTCGAATCTCAGCCAGGCATCGTCGAACTTACGACTCTACATTCTCGTCTATCATCATCGACGAACACACTATCTCGGAAGGCCCTGCCGCATCTATCAAAGGTTCATGCACTTACCCCAGCAATTGCATCAGCCGTAGTACCTCACCGTCCGGTATCACATGTCGAGGTTTACGTGTGGAACGGTGACTGTCCAACCCGCTTCGGTGCCGCGCTAGCCCAGAGCCACAAGCGTTTGAAGTCGCTGCTGGTTATTCAAGGGTTTAGGATTACGGCGGGAGATATCAAGGCACTTTCAATCAACCTGCCAGATCTCGAATTTCTCGGGAATGCCATCTGAGTGGATCGGTGAGAGCACTTAGTCAGCTTGTCCATCAAGCCCGGAGCACTGACCGAACACTCTGCGCCGCTTCCAGACCGACATTGCGATTCGCGCCCTAGCTGGATTCGCAAGTCTAAAAACCGTGGTGATTGCGATGCACACTGTGTCTCTCCCTTCGAAAGACCGGCCAGGGTCAGATCTCGACGAGGCCGCGCTACTCACTCAACTTGTACAGGCGTGCCCCGCGCTGTCCACTGTCATCCTTACGATTGCCCTTACCCCCCGCGTAGTATTCACCCGACAAAATGCTGCAGACTTGCCTTTGGGCCGACCAGCAGCATGGAAGCGTGTCATTGATGCACCGCAGTCGCTGTGCTGTTCAATGTGGTCCGACGATTAAGGTTATCATTTTATAATGTATTTTATGGATTTGAATGTACTAAAATCGCCACTATTGGCAGTTTGTGCATCCACAAACCACCACGTAAGTTGGGTGAAAGCTTGAGCTCCTCCAGTTCAAGATTGTGATCGACGCCACGTAAGGCTGTGCGTGCAAACCTGAATCACAAAAATCCTTTGGGTGTGTGTATACTACGGATAAGATGACGGTTATGACATCTCCCTATCGAGTCTTAGTTCAGCAGGCACATTTCTGCTGAATAGATTTGCAAGCGTATACCACTTTATCAACGGGTCAATGGTCTAGTGGTATGATTCTCGCTTTGGGTTCTCACAGATCGAATGCGAGAGGCCGTCGGTTCAATCCCGGCTTGACCCCTTTTTCGTTCCCTCAACTTTTTGGAGCGTAGAGAATATAGCTGAGAGCATTCATTTCTTTAGACAAACCTCGTCTGTTTTGCATTGTGTTACTACTGTGTCTTGCTGTGATCTCGCGCAGATAACCACAATCCAGAATGATTATCGTATATCGTATGCATGCAGAATAACGTTATCGTGACAGTCAGAAGTCTCCATATGTTGCGGGGCGTCAAGTCTAGTGTCCTGGTGTGGCCGGGTTCAGCAACTACAGCCCCCTGCCACTTCGCTGGAATCATCTGCCTTATCTAGCTGAATGCCACCAGGCATGGCGTTGTTGCTACCAGGCCGAGGGCCGGCCGAACGTAGGCCAGGTCCAGAAGTCTGCCATAGCTCAGGTGTGTCGATGATCTGGAATCACGAGTGAGTTCACAAAGAAACGCAGTCACCATGAGCCGTCTCACCTTCTCAACGACCTCGACGAAGGCCTCTCGGACACCAGTCGCCGTCTTGGCGCTTGCCTCCATGAAGAGACAGCCCATGCGGTCCGCGAACTTTGCGCCTTCATCCCGTGATACGGTTCGCGAGAATTCCTACACAGATGAGTGTGAGCAGGCTACACAGCCTTCTATCACGAGAAACTGACCTTGTCCAGCTTGTTCCCTGTAGTACGCGTTAACCTCAATCAGACACAAACTTACAGTGAACCACACATACCAACAAGAATTTTCACCACTGAGGGACTAACGTACTGCTCCAGCTCAGAGAACCAGCGCGGTAATGCCTCGAAGCTCTCGCGACTCGAAACGTCGTAAACTAAATGACAGGCTGGTGGTAAGAAATATGTGCGGAGGAACATATGAACGCGCGCACCCAAGAAGATCCCTTGGGCCCCTCGATAATAGCTACTTGTGATTGTGCGGAAACGCTCTTGCCCTGCTGTGTCCTACGCCCAGTATGAAGGTTAACAGCGTGTAATGCCACGCGACGTAGTCCGCACCCAAATGCTAAGCTTGACGCGCTTGCCGCCAACCTCCATCTTGCACACCTGCAGCAGACACGTGATTAGTTCATAGACTCATAATTAAAGTGGGCAGGTGCACGCACTCGGAAGTCGACGCCTGCAGGCGCGCCCGTGGGGTACATCACGTTTAGCGCCAGACACAACCGGTATTGGCGCGGGGCGGGGCGATGGGGACTCACCAATGGTCGCGCTGGACTCGTCCTCGGTAGCCATTGCTTGTCGGTGAATCGCAGGAGTAGTGACGACTTGCCGACGCTGGAGTTGCCTGTAGCCGAGGAGCCGAGCACAACGCGCCACCCGCGAATGCGTGAACATGGTCAGACTGCGAAGACGAGACAGGCAGCACAGCGCAGAGCAGCCGCGCACCGATGATAAGGAGCTTGCAGTTAATGGGCGGCGCTGCGTCTGTGGGGCTGCTTGGGGTTGCCATGCGCAAGGGCTGGGCAGAGGTCAAGGTGCGAGTGTTGAGTCGGCACGGGTGGCTGACTGACGTCGGTGATACCGGTACGGAACCTAAAGATGACGGACTTACGAGCTCGCCTCTCCCGCCCTTATACGGGCTCCTGTCGTATTTACTTGGGCGCAAGGGTTTTTACGTGACATCTCATATCGTCCTAGTAGGCTAATCCTGCTGTCTCTATAGAGTAACTTACGGCGTCGTAGAGGACTAAAAACTCTCGGCACAAACAACCATTTCTGGATCGGCGTGCGGATTTTGAATGTCAAACTGGCGCCCTAGGGAGGGAGAGAGGAACACGCTTGAATCTCCGCTTCGCGCGTCCTGCCCTTCAGACTCTTGATCATGACATCAAGAAGATGCCAATGTGGCCGCTAGTCTGTGATTACAACCAGCCGAGCATCTTGATCAGACGAATCACGGGCGACAATATATGTGCGTGATGCTGGTCGCTGCCGCTGAGATTGCTGGCTTCGATGATGCATCCGCGGCCCCCGTCTGTGCTTCAAGGACCGACCCCTCAGTCTGATATACTTAGCAAATTCACGCCCATCCTGTAGACGCGGAAGCAGTGCCCAGTCTCCTTTCCATCTGCTAAACACGGCGACAGCAACACTGGCCGTCCCCGGAAGCGCGCTGCGCACAGGAACCCCTCGCTGCCGACCGGCCTGGTGCTTGCGCGGGTTCTTCTCCTACCACCGCTTCCCAGTGCTTTCTGTGGCTTGCTTCCAATTGCACGCCCTTCGTCAGGTGGCTGTCGCGTCTCGTGCCTTTTGTGCTTTATCTTTTCCATCAAACTCGTCAATCCGCCCATGCGGGGGCATGGGCGGCGGCGCTGTCTGCTTGGTTATCCTTATGGATCTGGATCAATTGCGCCCGCGCTGCAGTGAACAAGACCTACGACGACACCTCCTACGGTTGGTTGTTTCAACCTCCAGTTTGTCCAGTTTCCTGCGACGGATCCGTGCCAGGCATCCCGAAGGCATGGTATGTTTGACGTATCCCTGAAGTGCGAGACATGGAGCGTTAACTTGGCCGCTCTCATCTTGTTTCTTCCCGCTTGTAGGTGGCAATTAGCCAAGCTGCGAGAACCCAAGTTCATGACCGACTTTTGGAGTGGCACGGAGACGGCCACAAGTCTCGTCGGTGCCTCTGCCACGCTCCAGTTTACCGGTGCGTCTAGGTCTTGGCGGACCGCATTCATAGGTCGAGACTCATGCGCATATACCCATTGAAGGAACCGACGTTTGGTATTTCGGAACTCGATCGCCGCTGGCAGGAACCATGGATATTTCGCTGGATGGAAAGGTCACAAACGTTTCCTCGATCTCACCACGCGGCTCGCCAGTGCTCCGTCAACAACTGTTATGGAGTGCGCACGGTCTCGACGATTCTGTGCAACACAGGCTAGTGGTGACCATGACTGGAGGCAACATCATCGATGTCGACAGAGTTGAGGTGACGCTACCCGAGCGGCCACCGACAACAAATAACCCCAATCCTGACCCCTCTACTTTGCCAAACGAGAGCTCAGGCGGCCCGTCTCATGGCCTCAAGCTGCAAGTTTTGCTCTCCGCATGTTAATGGTCGGGTTGCTGACATTATCATTGTGCCGTAGCGCTGCGATCATCTCAGGGGTGGTGTGCGGCGTCTTACTCATTGTCGTAGCTGCTCTCGCAACATGGTACTTCTACCTGCGGCGACACCGAAAGCCAGCATACGGGAAAATCAGGGCCTTCGATGATGGAGCGTACATGAAGCCTTTACCAGCGGTGCCGGCGTTCAACCGGAGCCAGTCCTCAGTGGTGGTCGTTGAAGCAGGGTCAGGAGGTAACACATCAATCGAGGCCGTGCGCGCAATCAATAGCCCGGGCGGCGAGAGCATAGGCGAGACCGTGGCGCAAACACCATTCTCTCCTGCTGGCGTAGTGACTGGGAATGTGACCATCCGAGACGGGCCCTCGAGGCAGGACGGGGCGTTGCTGCGATATGCGCTGGTTCGCACAGCGTCAATGCGGCCGTCCATGATTTTGGTCGATGGCTATGAATACGAGCAGAGGCACGAGCGCGACCCTCTGTCTGCAACGACAGGCCCTTCCCGCACAGCGAGGAGAACTATGCCTGTGGCCATCCCTGCGCTTCCACCGCCTCCTCCTTCCGACTCGCAATCGCCCACAATACTGTCAAGCGATGTCCAGTTCACTCCGCACCGAGGGTCGATGCAAACATGCTCCGAGGAGACAGATCTCCTCGCTCTTGCCATCCAAGAGGACGAGTGGCCGCAGCCGCCGACGCACATCCCATCTCCCTCGCCAATCTCACCAGAGGGGACAGTCACAGCTGGGATGGTATATTCACCATCGCATATGCGGCGTCTGTATGCGGCTGCATACCCTTCGCCTTCAGTAAGTTCGGATAGGACAGTGCGTCTGCCACTCCCTCCAGCACCAGAACATCCTCCACCGGCTCCGCCATCGTCTAGCACATCCGCATCCGTATACACATTCACGACTACTGCGACAGCGCACCACCCTCCTCGTTGATTTTGTTTTATTTCTTCTCCTTCTAATCTGGCGTCATCTAGATCTCGACGAGATGGACATCACTTCGTTGCATTCGGTTGTAGGACTCTTGTATCAATGATGTACTTTATCACCGGCAAACAAAGCTCCAAGAGTCCGCCTTGGTTGTCAGCAGCAATCTCGACATGTGCGTCGGTGGAGAACCAGGTGGTCGTGGTTTGATCGCATCTTACCCAGGCGTGAACTGTGGCTCAATTGCTCAACATTTCGTCACAGACACGTCTTTTGTTGATTCCGAAAGTCTAAAAGTGGTAAGGTCTCTCAGAGAGGGAGGCTCAGGGAACAAGCGGAGCCTTGCGTCATATCCGTGGAGCGCGCAACGTCATTGGTCAGTTCGCGAGGTACATATACCTCGATTCGGAAAGTCGCCACCATCCTCACAAGCTCACGACCTTTTACGACCCAGTCCCCGTCTCAACTCTCTCAAACTACCATGTTCCGCTCCCACAAGCGCGATTCTGCTCCGCCCGCCACCACGACTGCTCCAGCGCACAGGGGCGGCCTCTTCAGCCGCAACCGCTCCCCATCTCCAGTCCGCCGTGAGGAGACCCGTCGCGGTGGCCTTTTCCACCGTAGCCCGAGCCCCATCGCCCGCGACGACGCACGCACAGGTCGCAGTAGCACCGGCATCTTTGGCGGCTCGCGCCGTCGCAGCTCGAGTGCCTCCAGCGACTCACGTGATCGTCGTCACGGACACTCTTCATCATCCAGCCGCGGCGGCATGTTCGGCAGCGTCGGTCGCAACGACCCTGTCATCCGTGGCGCTCGTTCCAAGGTCGCCGATGCAGAGAACGCAGAGCGTGCTGCTGATGCGGCCCTCATCGCCGCGAGGCAGGCAGTGCAGGAAGCCAAGCAGCATGTCAAGGACCTTGTCGGAAACGCAGACCGCGAGGCTCGTGCTGCCAAGCTCCGCCACACTGAGGGTGCGTTTGATATCTGCCCTTCATATACCCTCTACT